TCAGCAGGATCTGTGTGCTGCAGACATTGGAAAAGTGTCTCTTCTAAAGCAACCAGTTCCCCGCACAAGGTGGCACCCAGGAACTGAGCACTGGTGCACTGATTAGCTGGGAAAACAGCCCTTTTGCATGCTGAACATGTAGCTATTTCCTGGCCAAAAGCACCCGGGACTTCAGCTGAAACCCCAGCAGGAGATGGGTGAACCCACTGAAAAAGCAGCTATTGCCCAAAATCTCACAGGTGCCTGACTGAATACAGAAAGCCCCCACAAAAAGTCACTGAGACGGAGCTGTGAATCCCCCAAACACCCCAGCAGACGGAGCGGCAGCTCGCTCTCCCCTGTGTCCTGCTGTTCCCAAGAGATGCTGCTGATCAAGAGAGCAGCCAGGCCGGGGTGGCAGCGCCAGCTGGGACACTCAGCAGAGCACCGTGGCTTTGCACCACTTGACAGCCTCTCCGGTACATTTCGGACATATGGAGGGACTGGAGCAGCCACCTGGGGAGCCACAGTTACACTCACATTGAGCCATCTGTGATGAGCATTTTCCTCTTGTCTCTCGCAGGAGCAGCTGGAGACCCTGGCTTCCCAGGACCGAAAGGTAAATTGTGCTGCGCCGAATTTATCATGTGATCTGGTTTAGTTAAACTTCCACCCTGTGCTGTTCTGGAACAACACACGAGGTGGGAACAACTATAGAGCAATAAAAGTACCCCACCAGGTACCAGATGGGGCTGTTTGGTGACCATTGTGCCCCATCGTAGGCTCAGCCCTGCTCTGGTGCTGTGAGCAGCCCCTCTCCCAAACCAGCGGTTCGGCAACGGTGGCTGCCCCAGCTCGGGCGCCTGATGCTGCTGCCCAGCACCATCAGCTACGGAAGCCCCAGGGCTTCACAGAAGGCAGAGGCTCAGATGAAACTCAGCTGCTGCTGGTGCCAGCAGAACATGTCTCTCTACCACCCCTAAAATAGGGTAGAGGGAAAACAAGGGTTTTTTCCTGGTGCCATCATCCTGCGTGCGAGGGCCACTGGCACCCGTCGCTGAGCACTGTCTGCACTGGGGCTTCCCTCACTGGAGCTTGGCCTGTAATAGCTGGGGGCCAAGCGCTGCTGATCTAGTGGTTCAGCACATTTGCTCCAGCTGTCCCAGCTGCTCCCAAACCACTGACTAAAGCCCTTTGCCAGCAGCAACCATTCCCCTCTCGGGGCTTTTGACCCTGCCTTCCCGCGGGTGCGTTTCCTCCTCCTTCCCACACCCACCTGCCCTGTCCCACGTGTCCCAGCCCAGTGGGAGTCACTGGCACAAAATGTTGGTACCCAGCTCCATGGGCTGGCCAGCAGCAGGTCCAACTGGTTCTCTTCACCTGCACATCTTGTGTCAGTCTTGCCATTTGGACCTCCCAGCCCCAAATCAGATGGCCGGGGAAAATATATCATGCCAGGTCCAACAGCCCAAAAGAGGCAAGGCTGCTGCTCCTTGTGCAGCTGTGTGTCCCACCCCCCGGCAGCCACCCCGTGTGCCTGCTAGGTGACCTGGAGAGCTGCTCCCAGTGACTGAGGGTGCTGGTGTCACCGCTGTAATTACAGGAGTCTGTGCCTTGGGTTCCCACCCGCCACTGTTCCTCTGTGCTCTCCTGGGTCTGTGCAGATGGGCCTTTGATGGGCTGGTGGGTCTCCTCTGGTGGGCTCGGGAGCAGCCAGAGCAAAACATATGTTGAGTTATTCCTCCTGCCTGGTTTCTCTGTGCCTCTGTTGTGTGTGCAGATGAGCTAAACACTTCCCCTAACATCACAGCCCTCTACCAGTGCAGCAGGATTTGTCTTGAAAAGCAAATGATGCCAAGTGCTGGAGGAGAGGAGGGCAGGATGTGGAAGGCGAAGAGCAATTGATGGTGTTGTTTGTCCAACAGGAACGAAAGGAGAGCCTGGATTTCCAGAAACATGGGGTGAGTTTCATCCTAGATCCTTCATGCCACCGTTGGCTTTGCAGAGCAGAGCGTTGTGGACTCCCCGCACCAGAAGTCAGGACAGGGCAGCAATAAAAACAAATTAAGAGTGACACCGAAGGATGGAGTAAGGCAATATCACTGTTAACCCATTTGCTTCTTACAGCCACATGCAGCTTCTGTGTGTCTACTCCGTAATCCAGCCAGGCCAGGGATGTCAGGTCCTCTAAGCACTACTCAAGGCACCTGCCCTCTGTGCATCCTGGAGGAGGTCTGTCTGAGTTTTTGAGAGCCTCAGTGTCCTGGTTTCCAAGATGAAACCACTAGAATCACCCCTATAGACATGCTGCTACTTCAAAGGCAGTTATACCACCACGCTTGCAGTGGCAGGTTCAGGAGATGCAGAGTTCTCCTGTGTGATAGTGCTCAGATTAACATAACCGTTTAAAAAAAAAAAAGGAAAGCAAGCTTCAGTTGACCCATCTGTCTCCATGAGCTAAAGCCAAAGCAGAGCTACAACCCGCTCTGGCTACACGTGGCTGCCGTAGGGCCACAGTCACGTGCAGAGGCTCAGGCAGATCAGAGCTCCTGTAACACCTGAAAGAGAGACTGGGATGCCATTGACCTGGCCCCTCGCTGCCCAGGCACTCCTCCGCCCTTTTGTGCTTGCTGGGCATGTAAAAACATTTGACTGATAAGGAAGAGGCCAAGACCAGGACCTTCCCTCCGTTAGGAAGGACACCCATGTCCACAAGACAGCCTGGTACAGCTGTGCGTGCCTTCATCAAATACAGCACACTCAGACACCTGCCCCACCAGCACCATCTCAGGTCATCTCCCAGGGCTTTCCCCTGTGGAAGCCACAGGCGCAGCCGTAAGCTAGGGCATCTGATAGGGACGGTTCCAGGCAATTCTTTGGCACCTGGAATCTGAGCTTCTGTCATCAGGTGTGGGCTTTGGGGCGAAAAATAAATTTATACATAATATATGTGTATATATTCAAAAGTGCTGTCTGTCCCATCCACAGAGGATGATCTGAACACTGTTCTCTGTATTCCAGGTAGGTGTTTTTCTGTGTCACCACTCCTCTGCTGCCAACTGCCCACACACTCTCTGTGCCCCCCATATGTTCCTGAGCCCGGACAAGTTCCTGGATCACGAGTTTGTCATCCTGCTCAGCACAGCTCCATCACCCAGACCCCCAAAAGAGGCGCTGCAGACGAGAGGAGTCTGTGACATAGGGACTCAGAAGCTGCAGCGGGGTTTGGCTCCCAGTAGGTGTGCACCAGGGTCCTGCACGGCAAAGAGCCAGCTGGGACGCTGAAGGGCTCAAAGCTCAATGCTCCCTGGACGAGAGGGAACGGCCTCAAGCTGCGCCAGGGCAGGTTTAGGTTGAATATTAGGAAAAACTTCTTCACCGGAAGGGTGGTCAAGCATTGGCACAGGCTGCCCAGGGAAGTGGTTGAGTCCCCCACCCTGGAGG